AATACAGAAATAATGAAGTTACTCTATATTTCTTGGTGAGTTCTTAGCCTAAGTGCATTTTGAAAACCTAAACTTATTTACCTAGCAATCAGAGTACTTGATATTTGTCAAATATGTTGAAATGTTGGCATTTTCTTTCATGTAAGTGTTCATTATTGAGTTAGTGATTTTACCTTAATTCAAGGAAGGGAGATTCTTTCTAGAATGTCTATATTCCCATTTCTGCACATTTTTGTATATCTAATTCCTTCTGTGAACACATATAGTGACCAAGGACCATCATGTGTATTTCCTACTCAAGATTTAGTCATATCTATAAGTTAATATAAAGAGTTATATTCTGTCAGTTTTTTGCAAAAGTAGATAAATTAGAATGAGAGTATGAACTGATTTTGTAAATCCTTCAGGTTTTATAAATGTACTGCCCATACTTGAGGTTATGTAATAAGCAATCACTAAATTATCAGCATTTGATATATGAATACAGATTTTTGTCATTGTAGGAACTGCAGCTTTTCCACTGGAATTGCATATTATGATTATTTTAGTCTGTCAGCAGAAGCAGCTTGGTATACTTTTTCTAGTTCGCTGCAATATGAGTCTCTAACAGAGGCAATTTCAACAGTTTTCAAGTAATAGTAGTTTTTAGGAGAAATAAATTATTAATATCTCTCTGCCTTAAGATTGGTATGACCCATCATACTGAGAGTTTAGTCAGACTTTACATACTCCTGAGATGTGTTCCATGTTTTGGAAAGGAGACATGAAAAGAATTAGGAGAAGGAGTTAAAAGGAGAAATTGGACATCTTTTTAATTTTCCTAAAGGTGTTTTTATTGTTTTGGTGTTTTGTTGTCTTGGAAGAGTATTGTGATTTACTTTTCTTTAATATATAAAAGCAAGACTATACCCCAAATCTAAGTACAAATTATTCTTGAATTAATCATATTACTATCCATTAGCAATCACAGAAAGTATAGTTAAGATGACAATCCATATAGGAAATACAAATTTCACACATTAAATGTCAACCTCAATATTTTTTTGAAGCTTAGAATGTATTACTTTTCAAAACATTTCACCCCAGTATATGGCTATCACATATTCACTCTAGTAGTCAGAAATAGCCCCAGTTCTCTTGGTCCTTCATCTTTTGTTTGGAAATACTTGAGAATATTGCACTGTACCCCATAAACAAGTTTAATATAAATATAGTGCATTATTATTCAAATAGTATAAAATAATTTGCATTCTAAAAATATATGCCATATTCTCCATGCCTTCACATTTACCCATTTTAAGAAGAACATATTAACGGTATCAAATTAGTTTCTGTTAACAGCATTTAAAAAATATGAATTTAATGTTGAAATACTTTGTTAGTAATACAATATTGCCTTCCAGTACGTACTTATATATTTCATGCTAAAATAAATCTTTGATTTTGTTTTATTTATAATACTGATTCTAAATTTTTAAACTCTCATGAAAAATTAGATATAAAACTACGCTAATGGAGACAAAATACCATTGAAGACTGAGAAGTTTTACTCCAAATAAATGCAGATTCAAAAAGAAGGCAATTTATTTTGTGTAAACATTAACATTTTTTTCTCCCCCTTATGAATTCCTCAAAATATAGGAGAAAATATGTGGAGTGTATTAATAAAGTTCAAAAATTAAATTAAAAATATTAGTAATACAAATATAAATAACAAAATGTAAATAATATATAATACAATTAGTTTCAATATATTCTATCTTTTTGAGTTAGTTTTATTTCTAATATTTTTAACATTTAGAAACATTTTGATTTACTGCATTTGAGATTATTTATATCCAAAACTTCTGAGAGAAGACCTTTGATCAATGTTTCTTCAAATTTAGAATAAAGATCTATCATAATATTATATTGATTTCCAAATGAACATAGTAAATTGGTATATTTCATCTTCATACAAATGCAGTTGTTAGTATAATATAATTTCCCTTTAGAATAGCTAAATCTTGATGCTACAATATAATATTCACAATGAGTTAAAGAGCAGATTATATTTTATTGTTCCAGGAATTAAGAAAAAGACCCTATAATTCATGAGAGCATAAAGTGAAAGAAGAAAGATACTTGTTTTAAATCACAAATGGATGTAAAAATCATAGCCCACTGGTGTTCTTTTTATATGTTCTTTTAAAATTCAGTGTTATTTTTATTATTTTAAAACTTTAATAAGTAAAGCTAGGGACTTTTATACCAAAGAAAGAATTCTATATCACTCCCCAACTGCACTGTTCTTTTATCTGAGTGGTTATTCTTTCTCAACGTAGCAAAAGAATCTCAGAATTAGAAATACTGTACCCAGCTCAAATGCCCTACAAGTGGTAATGCATGGCTATGACACCATGGAAATCTATAGTTTAACTCTGTTTTTTTTATTACAGATAAAACATGGATGCATACACCTGAAGCTTTATCAAAACATTTCATTCCCTATAATGCAAAGGTAAAAATAGTTCATATACTATTTAATTTTATTTTATTATTGTATTATTACTAATTCATGGCTAATCTTAGATTGCTTATATATTGACATTTCCTGGTTATTGATTCCTGAAAAAAGTTTACATAAATAAAATAATTGTGGTATAGGAAGTTATTTTTCTCTGTAGAATAGTTTCTTTTTTAAAAAATATATTCTTTAAAATTACTATTTAAGTCAAATATGTGTTTTCTTCAAGTGATTTTGGTTATCGTTAAAATTATTTGCAATATTATAGCCTGTAGGAACTCAAACAACTAACAAATTAGCTTTCTTTAAAAACATTTTTATGTTGCATTACATGACCTAAATGTAAATCCTGCAAATGAAATAAGCTGCAATTTTAATAAATGTAATTATCATTCAAGATAAAAGGAACAAAGTTTAAATTTTTATTTTATTTTTTGAGATGGAGACGTGCTCTCTAGCCATGCTGGAGTGTAGTGGGGAGGTCTTGGCTCACTGCAACCACCACATCCTGGGTTCAAGCAATTGGCCCACCTCAGCCTCTTGAGTACCTGGAGTTACAGGCACATGACACCATTCCCAGCTAATTTTTGTATTTTTAGTAGAGACAGGGTTTCACCATGTTGGCCAGGCTGGTCTCGATCTCCTGACTTCAAATGGTCTGCCTGCCTCAGCCTCCTAAGATGCTGGGATAACAGGCCTAAGCCAGTCTGCCCAGCCTAAATTATTTTAAAAAGCACACCAAAATATGCTCTTTAAAAGTTCTTTTGTTCAAGTTGCTGCATTTTAATCGAGGAGTGGAAACATTAATCTATACTCTGTGTCTTTAAAGATTTTATTTGTTCTTGAAAAACTAGACAAATGAGTGAATTCAGTTTACAACAGGGACTTTAAAGAAAGGTGCTATTTTGTAGTTAGTGATCACCAAACTTGTAATAATTTTCAGGGAAGTATGAGTCAAAATTTGGAAGAGACAGAAATGAATTAAGGAAGGGATTAGAAATATTAGAATCAAATGTAAAAGCAGCTGAACTTTAGAGACAGAATAGAGGAAAACAAAACTTATATCTTTATAAGAGAACTTTAAGGTTTATGGATTTATAAAATATACACTGGGATACAGTGAGATTAGGCATAACAATTATTTCAGGAAAAATGTTTATTGAGGAGAAAGTTCATGGTGTTTAGTAGTGAACATCTAGAGTTCTTATCTAAGTCTGAATCAGAAGGAAGAAATATCTAAAAGCCCATCTAGAAGAAGTTATTCCAGAGCTGTTGATCAGTAGTGAAATTTAGAGAGTGCACCATCTCTTATTTTTTTTCTTGCTGACTTAGCAGCAAAGGAAATGCTCTGAAATGTTTTCTGTATGAACGTATTATATTTGAAATCACTATAGTCCTTATGAATTTTTCTATAAACTTAACATAAAGGTTGATTGCCCTAATTTAGCATGAAAAGTTTAGTTAACTGAATGAGAAAAATTGTTTATGTTATCCATCATTTCTACAGATATTATTCATATTAGCTATTGGTATACTATATGAAATCTATACTGAAAAATATTTTAATCTGGAAAGCTGCTATGATTTTAAAGTGCATGCTCAGTTTTTGATATTATCAATTATAGTGGAATTATATGCTCCATTTGAAACCATCAAGATTATTTTTATGTGACTGATATGTCTCATTTGAAAAACAGCTTTATAAAATATTAAAAGGTTATATTATAATTAGATCTATCTTTGACTCTGCCAGTCATTATGCTTGTCTACATGGAAAAGTTGCTTCTGCCAATTCATTGAAGCATAATGATTTTAAGACATTCTATAGAAAGTGGAGAGTGAAGAAACATCTTCCCAGACTTGGGCCAGTAAAATATGGAAGGGCAGGATGGCTTTGTCTATTCTGAGTGATAATGTATATTGTATGTGTACCAAGTAGCATTAAAATCATTTGAAGAGTATGTTTTTTCTGAATTCCTTTGTTTGTAGCACTTTTTAGGTTAACCTTATAGTAGAATTATTTTTGAAGATATTCTTGTTATAGAATATGCCACTTGAAAACCAAATCCATGACCACAGAAAGTAACTTAGCACAATTAAAAAAAAAATACAGAGTCTAGAGCTAGATTGCCTTGGTTTATATCATGACTCCAACTGTGTGCCTTTAGGAAAACTAGTTACTGTGTGCCTTTGGGAAAATTGCTTAACCTATGTCTATGATTATTGATCAATAAATAGGGATAGTAACAATAGTAATTTCTCACTTGAGTTGTTAAGGAGTTAATGCTACAACAGTGTCTGAAATAGTGGAATTATTTTCTCAGGTTAACGTCAATTCTGTCCCTCAGTTCTGTTCTTAGAACCATTCAATTGATCAGTTCTAGCCCATCCGGATTATCCAGGATTATCTCCTTTACATAAAGTGAAATGATTAGAGATGTTAATCATATCTATGAAATAACTTTACTGCAACACCTAGATTAGAATTTGATTGAATAACTGGGCACTATAACTTAGCCAAGTTGACACTTTAAATTAATCTCATACAGGTATTAATGATGGACAAGGTTAAAAAGGCAAATTGGGAAGGAAGGCTTTGAATGGCAGAAGCAGCAGTTTGGGCTGTAAACGAATTCAACAGGATTTTAGGAAGATAAATCATAAGCGATTTTTTAAAAAAAAAAATGTCAGTTTGGACCAGGAGAGATAGAATGACATTAAACTTCCTAGGAAGTTATTTTAATGGTCCAAGTGTGTGGTATAAGTTTACAATAGGGTAGTAGATAAATTTCTAGTGGAAAAGAAAGATATGCTTAATATTCCAGAGGAAGAAATGATGTAACATCGGAATGGTATATAAGTAGAGAATAAGAAAAATACCTATTTTCATCCTGGCTAAAAGGGAGAACGATCACACCATTAGAAGATTATTGTCACTTCACTCACTTTTGGCATCCACTGGTTACAACTTAATCTGATAAATTCAACAGAATTCTTTAAGAATTATTATTCTCCCTGGGGAAATACGTAATAACATTTATGTTGAAGTGTCTTCAGTTTTAAAGCATTAGTCTGTTTTATATTATAATTCTTTTTCAGAATACATTTTAGTTTTACATCCTTTCATTTTATGGAACATTGATTTCAAAAATTCACATTTAATATTCATAATGTAATGATTTCAGATCACATGTCAATATAAAATAATAGACGGTTTTAAATAAGCATTGTTCCATGTAGGGTTCATTAGTTTTGGAGTTTGCTTTAATGTGCCAGTGACAGCGTTAATATTAGTTCATTGGGAATCTTTTATATTATCCTGTGTACTCGGTAGTGATGTTTCCAAGTTAAAGGTTATTACCTATGAAAAAATGTGGTCATGAAATCAATGTAGTGGGTCATGGGGACATGTATTTAGAGATGAGCAGCAAGGGCAAGAAAGGTGATTGCAGTTCAAGCTGAGTAGGAGCCGGAGGAGAAGAGTACTGAGAATCTGGATATATTTTTAAAGTAAAGCTGACAGAATCAATAGACAGATTATGTACTCGTTTCTTATTGCTACTATAATTAGAACATTAATGCAGAAATTTAAAAGATTCCCTTCCCCTTAATATTTTATGAGAATGCTAAACTCTCTTTTCTATAAAGGTAAAATGCTGGCAGATGTGTATTTTAATCAAGTTATTATTCTGTTAGAGTGAGACAGTCATTTCCTAGATGAAGAATTGTGACAAATGTTTCATAAAAGCGTTTAATATCTTATTCTAAAATGTATAATTATCCTCCAAAAAGTTTAATGCATTATCCTTTAGTGAAAAATCTAGCTTTAAGATACACAAAAATACAAGAATATATAAGAACGAAGTTTTAAAGAGATTACTACCTTATTTTGCACCAGGTAGCAGTAAAGAGAGCCAGCATTCCTTGATTATCTGTTTACTGTGTTCCAAGCTCTAAAAGTGGGCAAATCTAAAACAAATAGGAGCATGGACCTTCACCTTAAAAACTTACGACTTCCCTGTGGAGAGAAAACCATCACATGAAACAGAAAGAATTTTGGAAGAAAAGTATATAATTATAACCAACATCGATGTCGTTTTCTTCTTAACTATGGAATATCTTAAAATCAAATACAGAAATATAACATGAGGCAGTCCTTGCAAACCCTTTCAAAACCATGTCAGGGAGTTTTACAAGTGAGAAAACAACATAGGTCATCACCAACAAAATAAAATACAAATGTCAAGGAGAGGTTTACAAAGAAAGATTACCTTACATTTCAATGCTTTCTAGTGGTATCAGAGTTTTACATATGAAATATGCACTGTTTGCCACTTGGTATGTTTAATCAGAGAGAAGGATTGCTGCTGACCCAGTGAATTATGTCGTTTCTAGTGAGGCTTTCTCATCTTTACAACCTAAATTCGCCAACATGTACAACCTATGAGCCTTTATTTGGCTTCAAAATACAAACAAAGTAACAAAGAACAAAAACACTGCCTTCGTTCCCCCCCCCACACAAAAATGTAATATCAGATGTGACAGTAAGATATTAGAACGTGAGGATTCTAACGGTTAGTAGTTGGTTGAAAACCACATCTTGGACACTTATATTTGAAACTTTTAACTAAACCTGCTCAATAGTAATCATAGAAAAAATCGGAACCTACATATCTGACATGCTCAGATGTACCCCTCAAGCGTAAGCTCTAAACCAACAACTCTATTGATTCTACCAGAATTTTGTAGCCGCAGGGTTGCTGCATCCTATTACAGTAATCAGTGCAGCCACTTCTGGGTCAAACTACTTGGGTTCAAACTTCTACTCTCTCAACTGATATCAGAATTATGTTTTTTTATATTTAACTTGTAAATGAGATTAATAACTACAAATATCAAACTGGATTGTTAATGAGATGTAAATGAGTTAATATATGTATTTTAAAACAGATGAGTTTCTGGCATGACAAAAGTTTATTGTTATTAATATCATT